AGCTGTGTACTTTACTCCATGAAAGTGGACTTCCTTCTGAGCATGAGTTAAGGAACTTTGTTCCTGTAATTTATGACATATTTTACTGTCAGAACTAAGGTCTTGTGAGATTAAGCATTTATTATAAATCACATGAAAAATAAACTGAGAAACTTCTCTACTGTATGATAGAAATCCTTTATTTTTTAGTGGCTGTCCATATTATAGTTCTTCAATGTAAAGGGTAATATTTAAAGAAAAAAACTGAAGACCACTTATCCTTATACCTCTAGATCTGAGGTTTTTACTTTTTGACCCTGTGGATTTTATGATCCGCTACCCTCAGAATCACAGCTCTTATATCTGGGACTCAGACTTGTGCCTCTCCTTTCAATTTTCCCAACTTATTAACCTTCTATATGTTCTCAGGTGTTTCAACCAGAGATGATGCCAAGTAAAGTCATTCGTTCACTTCCACCATTTCCCTGATATCTGTGACCAGGTTCACTGCAGGGTCCCTTGATTTTTCTGGGACTAGGACAGACCACTGGTGCATGCCTGGCCTTGGCAAAGAGGGATGGCTGCGGGTGCCTGCCATGGCTTGGGATTCTGAACAGTTCTGACGTGAACACTGCTTCCAGCTGTGCTCACGTGTTCTCCAGGGGCACATACAGGACAGGCGTATGCACAGACACCAGCCAAGGGAGTCTGCTCTTTGGGATGTTGGTCACACCCGGTGTGATGGTTGCGGGTATTGGTTGGTTGGATTTGCAAGGTACTCCCAAACAAGCTCGCTGTTTCTTCCCAGTTGCTAGATCTCCAATGCTGCAGGACAGAGGACCACATGTCCCCACAGTAGTAACAGGACTTTATCCCAGGGGCTGACAGGTGTGGTGTGAGAAAGCTCCTGAGGAGAGTCTGGGCCACGAGGGAGGCTGTGGGAATGAGTTACTGGTGTCTGCTGCGGGCAACGAGGTGAGGCGGGCACTGTCCCTGCCTTTTATTTGCCATTTCTTGGTTGGGCCCTTCTCCTGGGTCCGAACGGTACCAGCTCAAGTCTAGAGCTGTGATTTCTTGTAACAGCAATAGTCTATGACCCACACGGCCTTTGAAATTTGAGGTGAGGGTGAGAGCTACTTTATATTAGATGTTAATGATTTCTAACTAATTCATCACCTTTCTGGCAAGTTACGACTTAGTTTTGGTGACAGAAATAGTTTTTAGCAGATTGTACAAAAAGAGGCCCCTTTTCCCCTTGGAGATAATTTTGAGCTGCAGGGTCCCTTGATTTTTCTGGGACTAGGACAGACCACTGGTGCATGCCTGGCCTTGGCGAAGAGGGATGGCTGCGGGTGCCTGCCATGGCTTGGGATTCTGAACAGTTCTGACGTGAACACTGCTTCCAGCTGTGCTCATGTGTTCTCCAGGGGCAGATACAGGACAGGCGCATGCACAGACACCAGCCAAGGGAGTCTGCTCTTTGGGATGTTGGTCACACCCGGTGTGATGGTTGCGGGTATTGGTTGGTTGGATTTGCAAGGTACTCCCAAACAAGCTCGCTGTTTCTTCCCAGTTGCTAGATCTCCAATGCTGCAGGACAGAGGACCACATGTCCCCACAGTAGTAACAGGACTTTATCCCAGGGGCTGACAGGTGTGGTGTGAGAAAGCTCCTGAGGAGAGTCTGGGCCACGAGGGAGGCTGTGGGAATGAGTTACTGGTGTCTGCTGCAGGCAACGAGGTGAGGCGGGCACTGTCCCTGCCTTTTATTTGCCATTTCTTGGTTGGGCCCTTCTCCTGGGTCCGAACGGTACCAGCTCAAGTCTAGAGCTGTGATTTCTTGTAACAGCAATAGTCTATGACCCACACGGCCTTTGAAATTTGAGGTGAGGGTGAGAGCTACTTTATATTAGATGTTAATGATTTCTAACTAATTCATCACCTTTCTGGCAATTTACGACTTAGTTTTGGTGACAGAAATAGTTTTTAGCAGATTGTACAAAAAGAGGCCCCCTTTTCCCCTTGGAGATAATTTTGAACATAGTTGGAACAGATAGAACTAGGGCTTAGAAAGCCGATGAAAGATAGAGAATCTTGCTGTATTTGGGGAACCATTTAGATGGTAGAGAATCGAATGAAACCTTGTAAACAGTAAAAGAAATAAACCAGGGGCAAGACAGGGGAGGGAAAGTCTTTCATGAAAAGTTTACAGGGACGCCCCACTGCCTGGGATAAAGCTGAGGAAGAGGGGGGTTGGGAACGTTGGCTCTCCAGGCTAGAGATTTAGGTGTCGAGTGGGCAGACAGAGGTCTCTGTCTCTGTGACGTATTTATACCTGGTTGGGTTTTGCTGGCGTGGAGTCCCTCACTGGATGAAGCTCCCTTGCTGAACAGTCCCACGGCCCCCTACCCTCCCTCCCAGTGCTTACTAGACCTTAGGTCCGTATCTGCACAGTCTGACCACTGTCATCTCCCTCGCGGGACTGTGACTCCACGAAGGAAGGGCTTGTGCTAACTGTCTTGCCTACCAGCACCGCCTAGCTTCCTGGCACAGTGCCCGGCATATGGTAGGGGGTCAATACATATTTCTGTTAAACAGATTTTTCATACTCATTGCATAAGAAAATGGATTTTCCAAGCATAGCCTCTGAATGCTTCCAAGAATGGACTGTTGTCACGGTCGGATCAGAGGCCAAATGGAGGCAACGGCAGGGCTTGTGCTAACTGTCTTGCCTACCAGCACCGCCTAGCTTCCTGGCACAGTGCCCGGCACATGGTAGGGGGTCAATACATATTTCTGTTAAACAGATTTTTCATACTCATTGCATAAGAAAATGGATTTTCCAAGCATAGCCATGGACTGTTGTCATGGTCGGATCAGAGGCCAAATGGAGGCAACGGCGAGGTCTCTGGAAGGACATTTCTGCACTGCAGTAGGTGGGTGGGGATCCTGATGCTTCCTTCTCCCCTTTCCTTTGCATTTTCTTCCCTTGCTGGCTGCTTCACATCATACGGTAACTCACAAAGCCGTGCACTTGGCCGCGCTCTCGCTGTCAGTCTTCACCATTCCCTTCTGCCATCTTTCTTTTGTTGGGGCACACTCCAACTTTAAATCTGGGTCTTCGCCTTGCCCACCTCCTACTTCTTAACTGACCCAGTTAACAGACCACTTGTTTCAACAATGTGTCAAACGGGGATGATCCAGACTTTACAACACGACAGCAAAGAAACAGAGGACCTGACATTTCTCCGTTACTTTGCCTGACTTCGTCTCTGCAGCCCTTGACCCTTGTCCACTCCTAGTTTCCTGAAACTCTAGGACACTAGCTCATCGCACTCTGTGTTCCTCTCCTGCTCATTCTCCATTTCTTCTCTTTCCTTCCTCTTCCATCCCTTAGAAGCTGGTGTTTCCCGAGATGACTCCTGGGTCTCCCTTTGTTCCCTTGTTTCTCATGCTTTCTCTGATCTCCCCTCCTTCTCTCGCTCCTCCTGCTTTCTCTGGATGTCTCATTTGTTTTCAGGTACAACAAACGTACTCACGGCTCTCAGATCTGCCCCTCCTGTCCGAGTTTCTATTACAATTCCAGATCCTTATTTTCAACTATCAAGCACATGCTCTCATTAACGCTTGCTTGTATTTTGCTACAGTGTCCTAAGTGGTGTGTCTGCAATAGGTGTCTCATCACATCGCTTCAACCTCTGCGTGGCCACCAGAGTCATTTTCTTGAAAAAATAAAGCTCAGCATGCCATTCCCCTTTTTAAAGACCTCTTATAGATTCCCAGGGCTCATTGCCATCACACGGCCACGACTGTGTTAGTGTTCACTGTGTGCTGGGCACTATTCCAACCACTTCACGTATGTTAACTCATTTAATCCTCTGCGGGTAGGTACTGGTGTATCCCCATTTACAGATGGGTAAACTGGGGCACAAAGATGACATGTCACATGTTTAGGGTCACACAGAGTTCACCCTTTTTAGCTTGATTCTAGAGGCCTTTCATGACTGTCCTCAGCCTACTCCCTGCTCCAGTCACGTGAGCCTTTCTCCTGTTTCTCAACACTCCATCCTCTTTCCCATTTCTCTGCCTTTGTGCCCGTCGTTCCCACTGCCTGCAATGTTGTTACCCTATCGTTTACCTGGTAACTCTTACTTATCCATCGAGACTCAGCTCCCAAGCCATTTTCTCTGGGAGGACTCAGAACTCTCTAGGCAGAGTTGGTCACTCCCATCTCTGGGATCACACCTGCCCTGTTGCAGGACATTCTCCGCTTTATTGCACAACGGGTTCTGCTTGCACATCTGTGTCCTCTACAAGACTATGAGCTCCTTAAAACCAGAAAGCATCTCTCTTTTATCTCTGTTTCTTAGTATTTGCCAGGGGCCTGCTGTACAGTAGGTTATCAGAAAATGTTTTTCGAAGGAATCTATTAACCAGAAGCTCCGTGAGGTCAGGGACCATGTCTTTCTCCTTCAGTGCTGTATAGCCAGTATCTAGCATAAACACATGGAAAGTACTCAATAGTCATTTGAATGGAAAAATGAACTGGATCATCATGAATTCAGTAAAATTCAGCCAAGCAGAGCTTCCTATTTTTCATTTCCTCATTTGTAGGCAGCAGTTTCAGCAATATCAGCTTGGGAACTCTTGGTATTTAATACTTTTTTCATTTACAATTAAGGCATAAGTGGTCTTGATTTCTTTCTGATCCCATTTTAGAAATCCAAAAATTAAGCATCATGAGCATAGATGAATAAGGATATATCTGTATTGAATTTTAGGCCACCCGTTTATAACTTAATATATTCCTATTTTTAGAGTAGAGAGCTATTTAGTTACCACCCATGTTCACTAAGAATAAAAAGCAAAGCTACATGCTGTTTTATAAGTATTGATATGTTAGGGTTAGTGGGATTAAATGTTCTGTAATATAAAAATTACTTTTCAGTGACTGAGACCAAAGAGGAGAAGGGAGGTGAAGAGGTACCCCATGGGCACGCTGCCCTGGCACAGAGCCTTTACCTGCTGGCCTGGCTTGATGGGGGAGAGTGTGATACCCTGGGTGTTGATCACGGGCAGGATCTGGTTCCCGATGACCGTGGCAATGATCTGGCCCTGGGCGTTTGTCAGGAGCTGTGGGGTGATTGGCTGCACTTGAAGGCCCTGAGTGCCGCTCGCTGCTTGGCTCGATGGCCCCGGATTAGGCATCAGTGGAATGGTCCCAATGATCTGCAAGAGACAGGCCTAGAGGTGAGAAGCCGTGCTCTGTTCAGGGTCTGCACCTGCACCTGAGGACCAGCTGTGCCCCGACTCTGCCGGTTCAGAATCTGTGAGGAGGTCTGGAGATTGGGGGGTGGGAGGAGGAAGGGGCGGTGGCGGGAGAGGACCATCTAAAAGTCAGGAACATAGGACTGAGTTCACTGAGGGAAGGAAAACACCTTATTTAAAAATACAATCAAGCATCAGTTAAGGCATAAACATGCAGTGTCTGCCAGGGCAGCGCAGACACCTGCCTTCTCTCAGAGCCAGAGGGAGACGGGCTTCTCCTGGCACTCGAGGACCTCGTCTTCCCCACGGTAGGGGTGGTGGGGGTCCCCCCACAACACGCTGCTCTCATCTTCTCCAGTGCCCCCTCCCTTCACAACATCCCGCCCCTCTGTCCAGGTCAGGGGCGGCTCCCTGAAACCCCCAGCAGGACGCGGGCTCCAGCACCTGGGACTCAGGACAGTGCAGAGCCAGGATTCCACGCCCAGCTGTGCCCTCTAGTAGCTGGGTCGTGTTTGTCAAAGGACCTAAGCCTTACAAAGAGTTGACAGCATTGGGATTACAAACAAATATTTGAAACTCTTAAAATAGACGTGAAATGATGAGGGAGGACTGAAATCAGGAAGAAAGTGCATTTTGCATGATGTGTTTTAAACTGGGTCCAAAGGCTGGGGGTTTCCTGCGGCAAGTGGCAGGGAAGGCTTCTGTCGGCGTCCGGTGGCCTCTGGCTGCAGTGATAGGCCATGTGGACCGTCTCTGTGCAGAGAAGAAAGGACTGCGACTAGGAGCAGCAAATGCACAGGGTGTCTGTAGAATCTGGAAAGAGAGACCATATTCACACGTTGTTAGGGACAGACTTAATCCGTAAAAACCAAAAATATGATCTCTGTTTCCAGACGCCCTGGGCTCTCGGGGTGTCCCGGAGCTTGGTGAGGGGGTGCTTTGTTGCTCCGCACTGGGAGGGAGGCCACCGGCTCTGCTCTGACAGTCGTCTTCAGGGGTTACCGCCCGCTGCTGACGGTGTTGCCCTGGCCTGGAGGTCCCCAAGACACAGCGGTAGTGACATCTTGGGCAGTGTTTTCACATGTGCGCTTTCAGTTCATTCCATATTGTCACCGCAACTCTGTGCGGCGGGTGTTGGTCGCGCCTCCATTCGGGAGATAAGAGCGGGTAGAGAGGCAAGTGACTCAGCGGAGGGGTTTGCAGGTGACAGGGCGGGAACCGGAGTCCAGCCCGCTGACCCAACCCATTGCTGTCCACGACGCCACCGGCCCTGCGTCCTGTTTGCAGCTCCCCGCGGGACGACGAGCTGTGTGCGGGTGGGTTTACAAGTGACACTGTTCTCTACCCCTCGGAACCCCCGACAGGGCTTTGAACGTAGCTTCTTAGTAAGTGTTTTTTTGCAAGTGGTTTGGAGACAGCCACGCCTGGGACCGCAGATGCCCCGGGCTGCGGGCCGCCAGCATAGACCCGGCAGAGCCACCACGCTGGAGAGGCCCCCCACGCCGCTGCTGTCCCTGCAGGGGCCCCGGCGGGTGGCCCTAGCGGAAGAGCTGTGCGAACACCCAGGAGCAGTGGCGGTTGTCAGCGGATGCTGATACAGGTCAAGGAATCAGGCGGCAGTGGTCAGCCGTCCCCAGGGAGTTTGCAGGCCGCGTGTGCCTGCAGCGTGCGGGGCCGAGGAGTCCCCATGCACGGAGCCCGGGCACAAGGACGCCACTGATGGCGCTTGTGCCTAAACAGCTCGGGACTCAAAGGCCGGCTCCTGTGACCCCACGGGCTTTCTAAGAGAGGTCAGGCTGCTGTCCTAGGCCTGCGTGGGATAACCCCCCTTTCCGCACGTGCACGGTGAAGTCTGGGCAACCCACCCACCCACTCTGGCCTCCCCCGGTGTTTCAGGCCTGAGCTGAAAGCCTCTGAGGCTGCATGCGTTTATGTGGCAGCGCTGTGGGTTCTATTTTAGGCAGGGTGTCAGCATGTTTGGGAGCCGTGGGAGGAGGTAGCTGGAGAGAATGCTTCAGAGTGAGGCAGGCACGTGACAGCCACGGAGCAGGCTGTGATGACAGAGGGTTCTGCCCTGAGAAGACCGACACGAGTCTGTGCTGCCTGGCGCTAATGAGATGCGCTGCCTGCTTGCTGGGGGGACAGAAGAGGAAAGGCAGACACACGTGTCCCCAGCCTCTTCCCTCATCACAGCTGCAGGTCCGTGCTGTGCCACAGCATTACTAAAACATGTGCCACCTGCGGCCCTCCCACCCGCTCCCTCTCCTTGCCTAGGCCTGACATCACTTTTCAAGGACAGGCCTACAGTGGTGCCAGAGCTGCAGGAATCTGTGATGGCCCATGGAAGGAATGTTCAGTAAAGAGAGTTTGCCTAAGAGGTGAGGGTCAGATAAGATCGTAATAACTTCGTATAGCATACATTATACGAAGTTATACGAGATCTTGTGAATGTAGCACACCTCAGCAATCCCAGGCCTTGTAGCTCCTGTGGGTCATCAGGTTGTCATTATAATGCCCCTATGCACATCAGGCTAGTTGATAAGAATAAATTACGACTGATAGAGGGTAAAGAACTCTGCACATACTCATGGCTGACATGGAGGTGTTGTGGCAGCTGAGGGTGGCCAGACAAGTCATCTTATGGGCCACATGTTGTTACAGTCAGTGATATGCTGCTAAACTCTGCAATGGAGTATGTGATCACACATGTCAAGTTGACAAGCAATTCTGTTTCTTATATCTTTAAGAAAAGAAAACTCATCAATGCCGTAAATCAGTGACTTCCTCAGGTCTTTCAATCCATCAGCAGAGACTATTCTTTTTCAAACATTTGTGTAATCTCAGCACTTTTTGGTCAAGAGACTTTTGTTTACACTAGCCTCACTCTGTCTGTCTTCAACAAACAGCTCATAGTGTCTGAGAACCCAGGAGCTGGTGGTGAGCTGTCACCAAATGGAAACAACAGTCACCTTCCTCTTTCTTCCTGGTCTGGCCACAGCTGTTGTCTCTCCTCCTCCAGGTGATGATCTTATGTTCTTTATATAATACATTCATTAGAGGCTCATTGTGCTCCCAGGTTTAAAGTTAAATTTGCTTAGAATTATTTTAGCTGCTCTGATTAGGACGTAGATTCTACAGAGGGTAGGATAATACCATTACTTCCCAAACAAAGTTTGTTTTTCCAAGATGCAATGTAGCGCCTTCTTGTATTTGGCTATGCCCAAGGTTAGGAACAAGAGAAGTGTGACTATGGAGAGGGGCTGCAGAGAATCTGAATCAGAGAATGGTAAAGGCATGGAGATGAAGGCATCTAATCAGAGGAAGATGCTAAAACATGGGCAGATAGGTTTAGTCTTACAGGCAATTACAAGTCTCCATACCCATGAGGTGGGTGCCCAAAAGAACACTGGAATGAATGCATTACTTCAGAGGAAGACAGGTGAGGACACCTGGAGGAGACGTCACAGAAGAGATGGGGCCAAGCAGGGTCCTGGAGGTTGGGTGGGACTGGGCAAGGCAGAGAAGCCAAGCAGGAGACTAGCCTGAAGGTGAGCAACGTGGGGGATGGCGAGTGGACTAGTTTGGATGCAAGAGGAGGTTGAGAAGGGTCAGCCTGGAAGAGTCCAATTCCATCCAGCCAGGGGGTGCTACTGCAGCAGTCCAGGTGTGAAGCAAACTGTCTCAATGCATCTTTGGTGCAGGGGCTGCTTGATTCGTTGAACTCTGTGTCAATTCAGAAAGCACAGCCTACTCTATGCTTAGGTTGCAACATCAGACATTTTTGAGTGAAGTCATTGCCCCGTCAATCCCATGGCAGATAGCTCAGGCATCACTTGCAGTGATCCTCTATGTCTTTGCCCTGCCTCTATCAGTAATGACTCCTCTCTGAGGAAAACTTTAACCAGGGTAGGCCCATGCTGGTTTTGTAATCATAAGTTGTGACCTAAGATAGTTCTGGCTTCTCTGACAGAGTTCTATGTCTTTGCCCTGCCTCTATCAGTAATGACTCCTCTCTGAGGAAAACTTTAACCAGGGGAGGCCCATGCTGGTTTTGTAATCATAAGTTGTGACCTAAGATAGTTCTGGCTTCTCTGACAGAGGACTTACTGATGTCACTGTGTATGTCCACCTGTGTCTTTCCTTAGATGAGTTACAAGCACAAACCACAACTGAGGAATAAAGTTCATGTTGCAAGAGCAACTAAAAAAATTATTCAAATGACTATCAAAGTTCATTAGCACCCCATTTAAAAGATTCCTGCTTCCGTAAGAATTTGGGTGGCTTACACCCAAACATGACTATCATTAATTCAGCAGCAATTATAATTTAAGCCATGATGAAGATGATCTTGTGAATGTAGCAAACCTCAGCAATCCCAGGCCTTGTAGCTCCTGTGGGTCATCAGGTTGTCATTATAATGCCCCTATGCACATCAGGCTAGTTGATAAGAATAAATTACGACTGATAGAGGGTAAAGAACTCTGCACATACTCATGGCTGACATGGAGGTGTTGTGGCAGCTGAGGGTGGCCAGACAAGTCATCTTATGGGCCACATGTTGTTACAGTCAGTGATATGCTGCTAAACTCTGCAATGGAGTATGTGATCACACATGTCAAGTTGACAAGCAATTCTGTTTCTTATATCTTTAAGAAAAGAAAACTCATCAATGCCGTAAATCAGTGACTTCCTCAGGTCTTTCAATCCATCAGCAGAGACTATTCTTTTTCAAACATTTGTGTAATCTCAGCACTTTTTGGTCAAGAGACTTTTGTTTACACTAGCCTCACTCTGTCTGTCTTCAACAAACAGCTCATAGTGTCTGAGAACCCAGGAGCTGGTGGTGAGCTGTCACCAAATGGAAACAACAGTCACCTTCCTCTTTCTTCCTGGTCTGGCCACAGCTGTTGTCTCTCCTCCTCCAGGTGATGATCTTATGTTCTTTATATAATACATTCATT